CTTCCTCCTCCCCAGGCCCATCATCCTCCAGTCCTCACCCCATAGCTGCCCTTCAACACCCACTTGGGCCTTCTCTGAGCAGTAACTTGTCTCCCCTTGTTGTGAAGGTACCTGCTGCTTCTTTGTTGTCCATTGGGACTGCTGCTGCAGGGCACGTCTGCCATGAGCCCACCTGCCGCCCCTCCCTGCCATCTGAATTAAGAGCAGACAGCTCTAATCAGAATTCACTGCCCCTGGCAGAAGAGCCCAGGTCTGCTGCCAAGTCCTTCCACCCCTTCCCAAGTGCCCTGAGACCCTCAGTTGTTGTTGGTATTAGTTATTAGTTGTCATCAAGTTGATTCTGACCTATGTGTGTCAGAGTAGAAGTATGTTCCAATAGCTGATTTTTTGGAAGTAGATCACAAGTGCTTTCTTCCCAGGTGCCTCTGGGTGGACTCAAACCTCCTATCTTTTGGTTAGCAGCCCAGCACTTTAACCATTTGCACACAGGGATTCCTTTCAATGAACAGTTCAGTGGTTTTTAGTATATTTACATTGTCCTGAGATCATCACCATTGTCTAGTTCCAGAACATTCCATGCCTAAAGGAAACCCGTACCCATTAATAGTCACTCCCCATTCCCCCTCTTCCCCATCCCCTGTTGTTGTTAGGTGCCGTCAAGTTGGCTCCGACTCATAGCTACCCTAAGTACAACAGAATGAAACACTGGCCGGTCCTGCACCATCCTCACAATCGTTGTTATGTTTGTGCCCATTGTTGCATCCACTGTGTCAATCCATCTTGTTGAGGGTCTTTCTTTTTCACTGATCAAGCATGATGTCCTTCTCCAGGGACTCGTCCCTCCTGATAACATGTCCAAAGTACATGAGATAAAGTCTCACCATCCTCACCTCTAAGGAGCATTCTGGCTGTACTTCTTCCAAGACAAATTTGTTCATTCTTTTGGCAGTCCATGGTATATTCAATATTCTTTGCCAACACCATAATTCAAATGCATCAATTCTTCTTCAGTCTTCCTTATTCATTGTCCACCTTTTGCATGCATATGAGGTGATTGAAAATACCATGGCTTGAATTAGGCGCACCTTAGTCATTGAAGTGACATCTTTGGTTTTTAACACTTAAAGAGATCTTTTGCAGCAGATTTGCCCAATGCAATGCATGATTTGATTTCTTGACAGCTGCTTCCTTGATTGTTGATCCAAGTAAAATGAAATCCTTGACATCTTCAATCTTTTCTCCCTTTATCATGATGTTACTTATTGATCCAGTTGTGAGGATTTTTTATTTATGTTGAGGTGTAATCCATACTGAAGGCTGTAGTCTTTGATCTTCATCAGTAAGCACTTCAAGCCCTTTTCACTTTCAGCAAGCAAGGTTGTGTCATCTGCATAACGAAAGTTGTTAATGAGTCTTCCTCCAATCCTGATGTCCTGTTCTTATTCATATAGTCCAGCTTCTCAGATTATTTGCTCAACATACAAACTGAATAAGTATGGTGAAAGGATACAACCCAGATGCACACCTTTCCTGACTCTAAACCACCCAGTATCCCCTTGTTCTGCTCGAATAACTGCCTCTTGATCTATGTACAGGGTCTCATGAGTACAAGTATTCTGGAATTCCCATTCTCCACGATGTTATCCGTAATTTATTATGATCTACACAGTCGAATGCCTTTGCATAGTCAATAAAACACAGGTAAACATCTTTTCGGTATTCTCTGCTTTCAGCCATGATCCATCTGACATCAGCAATGATATCCCTTGTTCCACATCCTCTTCTGAATCCGGCTTGAATTTCTAGCAGTTCCCTGTTGATGTACGGCTGCAACCGCCTTTGAATGGTTTTCAGCAAAATTTTTCTCATGTGTGATGTTAATGATATTCTTTGATAATTTCCACATTTTGTTGGATCACCTTTCTTGGGAATAGGCATAAATACGGATCTCTTCCAGTTGGTTAGCCAGGTAGCTAGCTGTCTCCCAAATTTCTTGGCATGGACGAGCAAGCACTTCCAGTACTGCATCCATTTGTTGAAGCATCTCAATTCGTATTTCATCAATCCCTGGAGACTTATTTTTCACCAATGTCTTCAGTGCAGCTTGGACTTCTTCCTTCAGTGCCATCGGTTCTTGATCATATGCTACCTCCTGAAATGATTGAACATCAACCAATTCTTTTTGGCACAGTGACTCTGTGTATTCCTTCCATCTTCTTTTGATGCTTCCTGAGTCGTTCAGTATTTTGCCCATAGAATCCCTCAAAATTGCAACTCAAGGTTTGACTTTTTTCGTCAGTTCTTTCAGCTTGACAAATGCTGAGCATGTTCTTTCTTTTTGGTTTTCTAACTCCAGGTCTTTGCACATTTCATTATGATACTTTACTTTGTCTTCTCGAGCTGCC